TGAGTGACTCTAACATCTGGTGCCTTTTCTTGATATGATCATAAAACAGTCATCACCTTTGCAGACAGGAAGACCTGTTCGGCCAAGTCACCTCTTTCAAATTACAGAGCAGAATCGAGTCACCTTTGCTACATTTTACATGGGCACAACTGCGGCCTGAAATCAGTGGTAAACTTGGCCCAGGCTACAGTCCTGTTGTCTTTACTTGAGTCTGCAGCATACTCAGTGCAGATGGACGTCTGCAGATCACGTTTAATTTTGTCATTAAAGAAGTTACCTAGATGTTTCTGCCTTTTATCATATGCCCATATTTTGTTGCCTGGATCGTCACAGGCATTCATGAAGAGCCTAAGAATTAAAGGCCATAATTCTTCCTAGTATATAGTTCTGTGAGTGTGTCCCCTTTGGGTGAGGGGGAGGAGCCTTGTTCCCAAGCTCTGATATCCTCCTAATGTCTCCTGGTGCAATTCCTCCTCTCCTAGGGCCTGAGCCTGTGAGGTGTGAACCTACCTTGCAGGATCGGGCCTCCAGGACATAATGTAGGTGGATTATTGTAGTCACAGATCCATCAGCCTCATCTCTGGTCCATCACTTCTCTATCCCAGAACTCCTCCCAAGACTGCAGTGCCAGGAGCCCCGCGGAGCTGTAGTAACATGCAGGGGTGCAAACATTCTATATACTGTAGGGTTTGGTGAAACTTTTCCACTGACATTTTTTTCCCCCGTGATGGAAAGCTGGGTTTTTGAACATTTTCATGGAAGGCGTCTGCTTTCTTAGATTTTTTTTTTTGTAAGCTGACAACTGTAAACCCAAACAGTTTTCAGTTTTCAGCCAAAAATTGTTGGCTTTCAAGTAGACCATTAGCATTTGTTTGCTTGTCTGTTCTTTTTACAAAAAGTCTCAATTTTCTGCTGGAATAAAACCCCATTTTCTGACCAGCTCTAGTGTTGCATCTGCTGGTCCTATCTTCCTAAACACAGCAGACTCACCCCAGCTCTGCGGTAAGTAGGGGTCAGACTGCTGCATGGGGAGCACCCTGATGAAATTTCTGGCATTGCCTCATTCTCTCATTAACACCATGCAACCATCCCATCCTCCCTCACATTCCATCTCAGAAAAGGCATGTGATGTAAGGTTTTTAGGGCTTTCATTTTCTACATATTTGTACAGTGCCTAATGCCAGAAGATGCTTACCTGTTAACCGTTAGGCACTACTACAATATAAACATTTAATAACTAGTTGGATTTGTATTAGCTCTCTTCCTCGGGATTGTGGTTTTGTTCTGAATTTGTACAACACTTAGCAGAATGGGGTCATGGTCCATGTCTGGGACTCCTAGGTGCTAGGATAATACAATAAAATAATAATAATAAATAATTCTGCAGCCAAAACAGCTACCGGCAGCCCAGCCTGGATTGACTAAATTGTTTATGTGAAGCCGATGGAAATGAATCAGGTCAACCACTTAATTATAATGTTGTATGTAATCTAATTATGTAGGAAAGAAAACAAAGATCCTGTATGTGAACAAAAGCAGTGAGCACAACCGGTGGTGTATGTATCCACATTTATATTACATCTATATCTATATCTATATATCTTCCAAAACTAGTCTCAGCCAGAGATTATGCAAAGTCTCCATTGGGGGCAGCATTAGTACAGGATGGATGTGGGTAAATTCCACCAGGTAAAAATGTGTATGAAAGATCTGCTGAACCAAGGTTCTAAGCTCCCTGGCACGAAGGCACTAAGAATCCAGCAGGATCCAGCTCATAACTTCTGCATTATCTGTCCACGTAATCTTTATTCATTTCTCCAAGTGGCAACCCCACTCCAGGGTTGAAGGATCATGCATTTTAATGCTGGAGGTAAAAATACTCAGGTTTCCAGCTGCTATCTAAATGTACTTGGAGACACATTCAGATTCAAAAACGTCTATTTAAGCCCACTAGCTAATCCGCCATGTTACTAATAATGCGTTAAAGGTGGGAATTTCAAAAGTGCCTGCATGATTTAGGAGCACAAGTCCCATTGAAAAATTTATTGAAGTTGGTTTTTCAATGTCAGTGCTGTTTGTTACCTTTTGTAGCTCCCTTATCTTGGGCAGTGACACTAGGCTAGTCTATTTCACTTTTGCTTCTGGTCAGTTTTACTGCCCAGTTCTCATGAATTAGCACAAGGCTGCACTATTCAGGTGGCAGATTCTTGCCAGGATAACTATTTGAATACAAACAAAAAGCGGTTTTCATTGACGTTTTATAAAAGACTGAAAATATTTCTGTTCATATTAGGTTTGCACTGAAAACAATCAAAATGTTAGGCCTAGAACACCATAGAGTGTCTCTTTAACAGAGTCCCACATGGAAAGCAGGGGGCTCATTTTTATCAGTCATTGGACCAATTTCCCCGTATAAAAATATACTGGGGTATTTTAGTTATGGCCTCAAAATACACAAGTTGACAACAGTGTGTCCTGTAGAATTCTGTAGGATTTTAAATTGTTAGGTGTCACCTTTACGAGTACTTGTTGTCCACATTGTGGTCTTATACCCGTAAACCCTTCGGCACTAATCCTGCACCATCAAGGTGGGCTGGGCAACTGCTGCACCTAGTGATGTGTTTCCACACAGGGGTTCTGTAGTGCACCGTGGGGGCCTTATGTTCAGGCCTAGAGCACGCTATTGCGAGAAATCCCATTGACGCGAATGGGGCAATTGACAGCAGTAAGGATAGGGAGCATTTGCAGGATAATCCTCTGAGGTTGAGCCATGCAGGCCACAGCAGGGTTTAAATGCAATTGTTAGAGCATAGTTAGAGTGCGGTTTCCTTGACCAGTGCAGAGGTTGTTTTTCCCAAGAGAATCCATTGATTACATAAATGTCCCCTTTGTCTCTTATAGCTCCATGTGTCTAGTAAGGTTCTGGGGGGGGGGGGGGGGGGGGGGAATCTCTTTCCATACTGGTAAAGGAAACTATACAAGGACTCCACTAGCAAGAGCCACTAAGAAAATTCTAGTCATATTATGCAATGGGCCATAAGAGGAAAGTTTTCTAGACACATTGACCCGGATTTCTCTTCTGCCTTTTTACCAGTTGTATACAGGTTACTGAAATTAATGGAGTCATATAGTTAGAAGGCACTAGAGAATCAGACCCAAAGATTTATTTGTAAATAAATATAGCTCCATTCAAGTTAATGTATGAGATCTGGACTTTTTAATTAATTATTATTATTAGAGCTGGTTTAAAATTTTCCAGTGAAACTTTTTTCCCCTGACAGAAGATGCCTTTTTGACCAAAATGAACAATTTTGCAGCAAAAAAAAAAAAAAAAAAAAAATTTCACGTTTGATTTTTTTTTTTTTTTGATTAAAAAATTACAGATGGACATTTTGGGGAAAAAATTTCATTGGAGGGGGAAAACTCTCCACTCTTTATCCCCTTTTTACTTCAAAATATTTTGTTGAAAAAAAAATGAAACCATTCACAGAAAAGTTTGAATGAAACCTTTTTTCAATCAGCTGTAGTTATTATTAGAGTTTCTGGTTTCAGGACAAAAACCCCAATGAAGCAGAAAATTACAGAATAAGGTTCTACAAAATATACACAACTGAAATTTACAATGTTTGCAGGATTGAGACCTGTGTGAGGAAGCGACAGAGAAAGATCCATTAATTCATTGTGGGGTACAACCCCAGAATGAAGAGCCTTTTGGGGGGCTTTTTAAAACAGCACTGAATCAAGGAAAACAATTGTTCAAACCACTAATAAAACAGGATTTTTACCCGTAAAAATGGAGCTAGTGTTTGCCTGAAAATAACCATCAGACATTAGAAAAAGAAATAGAATCAACATTGCAAACCAGAATGTCGATTTACACTTTATGAACCAGATCTTCAGCGGGTGTAGATCACTGACGTTCTGCTGACGTCATTGCCATGACGAGAACTGACACCAGCTGAGGAGCTTGCTCAGGACTTTTGTTGGGATTTTGTGGTTCCCAATAACAACCAAATGAATCAGATGCCGGGCAGAATCAAGGGTCTTCAATTCGATTCGATTCAACAAGACTTTATTCAGTGTGCACAAAGGGAGAGCCCCTGGTACAAAAATCAGCCAGAGTCCCTCCAGCAGGGAGCCCCTGCCATTGCTATTTTATAGCACATGGCAGTTACATAACACAACCCGCTAACCAATCATATTTTACCTTTCTATGTATGGATTTGTTCCTCACATGCTTATACTTCTCCACTCTACATGTTGAGCTCAGCCCCGTCCCCTTGGCCTTTTCTAGAATGTTCCTCAGGTGGTGAGCCACAGCATGCTTCTTTATGCGTAAGTACCTTCTAAATCACTTTTTGTTTAAAATGAACACACGCATACCCTTCACTTTGTAACCTATTTCACGTCTCAGTTCTACTCTACAAAATGAAATATCTGCTCCTTTAAGATAGACGAGCTGTGAAATAAGCATTATTTCCCTGTTGATACTCTGTGAAATTTGTTAGATTTTCTATACTTTGGTTTTTAATGAAATTAAACAATACACACACAGGAAAATAAAATCCTCAGAATTCACACCTGAGTTCTACAAACTGTCCTCCCAGGGACAGACGGACAGAGCACAAAGAATGGTGAAAGCTATTTACATGTTAATAATTCAGCAAAAATGCTCAGTATGGAGACACACAGACACAACCTTAGGCAGGTCTTGTTGTTTGGTAGCTGATGAAGCCCCAATGGATAAATAACAGGGAAGTAAAATAAACACGAGGCGAAATCCTGGGGCAAAACTCCTGTTGGCTTCAAAGGAGCCAGAATTTCACTCATGATGCTTAAAAATGACAGCCACCCAGGGAGCAGTGGGGCGAGGATCGGAGCTGAGCAATGACCAGAGCAGTGTCTTTACAAATAAGGTGCATTTCTTTTAAGGGTGGGGGGGAAGGTAAAGAGGCTCCTGGCTCTAAACATTTAAAGAAAGCATGAAAAGAGCTTTAGAAAAGGGGAGAACCGTTGAGTGGGGAATAAAGTACAATGACATTAACCTGGGAAGTCGACAGGGTACCAAAGCTCACATCTAGATGCAGGTCTTTGGTGAAATGAACGTGGTCACCTGGGTTCAGTTCCGGGGTTTCTGGGATGTGGGTGTGGTCAGAGACGGCACTGCAGACCCTTCTCACGGCAAGCTCTGAAATGAGCTAGGAGAAGGAGGAGTGTGATATGGAAATCCTTCCAGACTGGCTCTTGCCAGGCAAGGCAGAGCATCGCAGAGATCCACACGCATTGGACAGTGTTTGGTGCTGCTGTGGCTAAGTGGGGGATTATTCTGGTTAACACCTGGAGGAGTGTTAAATTTCACTGCTGGAGTTGAGAATCTCCTGTGGGAGGTTCAGTTACAGCCCGAGTCTCTAAACAGTCCAGCTGTGCTGGGCTCCCATAAGCAAGACCTTCCTTCTGCTGCACTTTGAAGGCACCCTCACTCCAAACTTTGCCCCAGAAGTTGGTCCATGGCTAGAAATCAGGGCTCCCTTTGTGCATGATGGAGCAGCAGCCTCAATGGAGATAAGAGGGTTGATTCCATCGGTACCAAGATCTGAAAAAAAGGAAACAACAGACACAAATGCACCGTTATTTTCCTTTCCCCTGAATTGGGAGCCCATCGTTATTTCATCTGTAGCCCTATGTAGCCGGCAACTGATCCTCTAAACCCAGCAGGGGGCTCAGAGCAAAACTCAGGGTGGGTTGCACTATAACCAAGCCAGTCTTCTCTGAATGACCAAGAAGCATCCACCTTGCTCAGATTTCACGTGTGCGGAGTCACAGGGGCAACGTAAGATCAGATCCTGCCTCGTCGCAGGTGTACCGGCGCCGAACAAGTTCCTCCACGATGCAGGAGGCCCAGCAGCTGCTGACACACCCTCCATGCTCTGGGTTTGCTTTCTGCTAACTTGTCGCTGATGTCATGAGCAATGCTGGTTGGGAGCAGGAGCAGCAGTGGCCGGGGGGGAGGAGAGGGACACCAGCAGCAGCACTGAACTTAGCAGCGGGGCACGTGATGAGAAACAGCTAGAAGGGCTTTGCCCCAGAGCATGGGGAATCTGCTGGGGACAGAACAGACAAAGCCCCGGGGATACTTTTCCTCTATCTGCCACCCAGCACCGCTACTGTGAGCGGACACAGTGGGTCAGTCCCTGGGAGGGCAACTGGGATGCGGAGGACGGGGTCTAAGTAGGAGCAACAGTCAACTAAATCTTCTCCTCTTCCTCTCTCCTTTCCCCCACTGTACCTACCACATACAGAAGGAAAGCATCACAGCCCCTATACCTGCTCACACGCTGAGTCTTTGCTAGCAGGACATTTCAAACAAATGTGGCCTTTTCTATAAGTTTGGAAGCAGAAACCAGCCATTCCTCATGGACCCTCAGAGTGAGCATGAAACCACCACAATGGAATGGCCTCATCTAACTGTGTTTTTCTAAAGCCCATCACTATAGTATGCAGCGAGCTCTGAATGTTCTTCTTGAGGGTCCCTTTTGCTCCCCCACGCCCTGGGCATTAATGCCAGGTGCTTCCCATCGCCTTACCCAGAAGGATTGAAGTTGGACGAGTTCATTGTGGCTTTAGAGTTGCTCTGGGATGCACTGGGGCTGCTGGCATGGAGCCCTGTACTGGGGGACGAGGGCCTGCTGGTGTTCCCAGGGGAACAAGATGATGTTACTGCACGAGAAGAGAGACAAGAATGAGGCTCACCTCTTCTTTCCTACTGGGGAGCAGGTGCATCTGTCCCACTACTCTCCTTATCCCTTGGCTTGCTGCAACGGCAAATGCATGTTAACTGTGCCCTGATCTGACAAACTAGACACCCCTACACAAGAGGTCAGGGGGCATTCTCCCTGCAGCAAAGCACAGTGACTGGAGCACATGGTTCCTCCAGTGTGAGATCCGCCAGGTCTCTGCTGAAGAGATGCCAGAATCTTCCTTCAAGGACACACCCCATGGAGCATGTTCCCAGCCGCAAACCCTCTGCCAGAACTTGAAGGCAGTGGCAAGGCAGGTGGGAGGGAGGCAGCTGCTTTTGGGGATAGAATGGGGAAGGAAGGAAGGAAGGAAGACAGCAGAAGGAATGGGGAGAGATTGGAAGAGAGCAGGTGGAGGAGTTTAAAAAGATAAATAAATCCCAGGCTGGGAAGTTGAGTCTTGTTCCAAAGCCCTTCACATTAGCACAGAGAGACTTGAGCCCCTGTGATAATCATCCTCATCATGCCTAGGAGCCCTAGTCATTGAACAGGACCCCACTGCGCCAGGTGCTGCACAGATGCAGAACAGACAAACAGTCCCTGCCCCCAAAGAACTGACAATCTAAATATAAGAGGAGAAATAGATAGGTCCAGAGCCAGCTCCTCTCAAAGTTCAGGAGTGTTTGGATCCAGGGTTTTGCTCTGGTCCCTTCCATCCCTAAATGGCAGCATTTGCCTGCCATCTGCGCCCATCGCTGCTGAACTGGCCATGTCAGGCAGCTAATTACAGTCAGTCCAAGAGCCCATCTAGGATGGGCTGCAAATGTGGAAACAAAAGCAGCCTTTGGATCAAATATAAGGTCTAAGTACTGATCGGCCGCAGAGCAAGAGGGAATTTGCTATCAGTGAAGGAAAGGAGAGAGGCATCAATTCTTGAGCCAGGCTTACCTGTCCCAGGCATGGTGCTGTGCATCGGATTCACTGAGAGGGGGCCCAGGGACCCTGAGGTAGAGACCTGGAAGGGAACAGAAGCCAACAGTGAATTAGTGACACACAGTTATTAATAAGAACATAGATCCCGGAGTGCCATTCCCTTAGTAAAAAGAAAAGGAGGACTTGTGGCACCTTAGAGACTAACCAATTTATTTGAGCATAAGCTTTCGTGAGCTACAGCTCATCCGATGAAGTGGGCTGTAGCTCACGAAAGCTCATGCTCAAATAAATTGGTTCGTCTCTAAGGTGCCACAAGTCCTCCTGTTCTTTTTGCGAATACAGACTAACACGGCTGCTACTCTGAAACCATTCCCTTAGTAGTACACACTGTCACGCACTAGCCTCCCATTCCCACAGGAATCCCTTAGTCTACTCTGCACACACCCACACAGATTTCTTATCCAGATACAGTTCAGATTCCCACACATGGTTCCATGGGTATTATGATAGAGGCGCACCGTTCCCCCTGGGCAGCAGACTGGACCGTGCATGTGTAGACGCCAATCCCTTCGTCCCAGACACAAACAAACACATGCTCACTCCAGGGCCGGGGCTCTCAAGCTTTTTCCACAGCGCGGAGCAGATCTCAGACATGTCCTCTCCCATCAGCCATCCCACGGGGCGGCTCCCCACACACAGAATGTTGCAGTGGTACTAGAGTGGTTGCTTGCATGGACACGTTATGGTTGGAAAACGTTCATGTATTTTAAGCCGCCTTTCGCATGATAAACATTCTCTTCTTTTGCAAAAGGCTACAAGCTCCGGGCCTGAGTCTCTGCCACTTACACTGGTGTAACACCATTGACACACCGGTGTTATTCACAGCGATGTACCTTTGGTGAAGTTGGCTTCACTGGAGTTACTCTGGAGTCACACCCGCATAAGTGAGAAGAGAATCAGGCCCACAGGCCCCTCTCCTCTTCGGTCCATCTCCCACTCCCACTGCTTCTGTTTGTCTCAGCTGGAAACCAGGCAGAGAACCAGCACCATATAACCAGGCAGCTCGCTATGGATCTCCAGCAAGTGATCCTGGGACCCTTTGCCAACCACAGGTTGGGAACCTCTAATCTAAGGGAAAGACGGGGAGAGGGCAGCCTCCTTCACCAAAGGATGACAAGAGAGCCCTATCTAAGCCGCTACGTTCTGCAGAATCTACACACTGCCACTGTACTAGGATTCCCACTCCCAGCCATAAAAAATCAGACAAGGGAGGCATCTAGACAGTCTCCAATAGTGGCCAGCACCAGATGCATTTGAGGAAGATGCAAGAAACCCTGCAGTTATGGGATCATCTGTCCCCAGGAAAATTTTTTCCTGATCCCTAATATTTAAAAGTTGGTTTATGCCCTGAAGCATGAGGGTGTTATAAGCTTTGGAATTGGGCTGTTTGCTTGTTTATTTTCAAACAAAAAACAATGTGCACAAGTTTTTGCAAACACTTGTGATTTTTTGGGGGGGTGGGTGGGGGGAGGCATTCTCTGACTGGCTCCACAGCTCACTGGAGAATTTTTTCATCAAAAATATCTTCCAATGAAAAACATTTTCAGGTAAAAATTGCCAACATTTTTTCATGGTTTTTGACCAGCTTTGCTCCCTGCCTCTGACTGGCAAAGCTTGTTCCATTTTTCTGTTTGGGCAAAATTCACCCCAGTGCAGAGGGACAAGCATGATGCCTAGAAGTGCTGCTGAGGATCTCAACATGGGGCTTAAGTCTGGTCTACACTACAGTTAGGTTGACAAAAGGCAGCTTACGTCAACCTAACCATGGAAGTGTCTACACTAAAATTTTGCTCCCGCCTAAGTAACTTGCCCGCTACACAAACTTAATAACTTCACCTCCCTGGGAGGCATAGAGTCAATGTTGCTGTATTCTGACAGGTTTCAGAGTAGCAGCCGTGTTAGTTTGTATCCGCAAAGAGAACAGGAGGACTTGTGGCACCTTAGACACTAACCAATTTATTTGAGCAGAAGCTTTTGTGGCCTACAGCCCACTTCATCGGAGGCATAGAATGGAACATATAGTTAGGTCAACGCAGTGTCAATGTAGACACTGCATTGCTTACATTGACTGTTGCTGGCTTTCAGAAACTGACAATTCAATCAGTGCAAGCGCTCCAGGTAAAGATGTGTGCTGTTGACACAAGGAGCAAAGTGGACACACACACACAAGTGATGTAATTACTGTGGCAATTGTACGCAGACATAAGTTAGAGTGACTAAATTTTGTAGACATGCCCTTATTTTCAAGTTCTGTTAAATTATTTGTGAAGAGACTTGGAGGTTTATAAACCTAGACCAAGATTTTCAAAAGCACTGAGCACAACCTTTGAAAATCAGGGCCCTTCCAAGTCTCTCAAGTTGGACACAAAATCAGAGGCATCTTTAACCACTAGTCACTTTTGAAAATCGTGGCCTCGTTCTTAATGACTTCAGTGAATTTTTTTCTTTTCAGGGGGCTGAGTTTTAATTCCTGGTCTGGGACTAGCTGCCAATTAAGATTTTTGTGGCTGTAGTTAGCTTTGGGGGTGAAGGGGTGATCTACACCTATTGTTTTTATTTGTATAAATCTAATCAAACAAATATAACAAATTGTTTGGCATGATCAGAATAGAATATAGGGAATCCTGATTTCTAATATCACACCATCTGGAGTCATCATAGAATACCAGGGTTGGAAGGGACCTCAGGAGGTCATCCAGTCCAACCCCCTGCTCAAAGCAGGACCAAACCACTGAGCTATCCTTCCCCCCAATACCCTCTGTGGGCTGATGGTCACACCATGTGCGTGCGGTGCCGGCAACCTGGGTTCGAATGTCGCCTGGTGTGCGTCTCCGGACCTTTCTGCAATAGCAAAAGGGGTGCCGCCCTCCTCCTCCTTGCCTGTTGAAGCTGTTCCACTTGAGTTAAATGTGCTTTGGGCCAGCCTCATGGCTACTCTCACTCTCTAGTCCAGTGGTTAGGATACTTGCCTGGGTTGGGGGAGAGCTGGGAGGGATAGCTCAGTGGTTTGAGCATTGGCCTGCTAAACCCAGGGTTGTGATTTCAATCCTTGAGGGGGCCCATTTAGGGATCTGGGGCAAAAACTGGGGATTGGTCCGAGTTTGAGCAGGGGGTTGGACTAGATGACCTCTTGAGGTCCCTTCCAACCCTGATATTCTATGATGAGTGAATAGCTCATGTGATCATACTTCAGCTAACAAGTTCATGGCAAATCTACTCACAAAAACTATTGCTTTGAATATTTATTGCTTGCAAGTAGCTTGTCCTGCTGTGCATGGTTTTATTTTGCTGCTCCCTGACTGGGTGACTCCCAAACCCACCGAGATTTCAAGATGAGACAATCCCTTGTGAATACATAATGACTGCCCTGCCCCCATATGAATCCCTAGCAGCCTTCAGCACTGCAAAACAGACTCCTGCCACTTGAGCTCAGCTCATTAACTGGCAGCAGTATTTGGCTGTTATCCACAACACCCACTCACCAGCAGATTACAAATACACTACTGAACGAATATTTGTGACGCTTTCTCTTTACGCAATCACCCTTTCCAACAAAAATTCACTCATGAAAACATTCAAGGACAGTGAATAAAAGAGGCCAGTGATCCAGTCAAAGCGAAGTCACTGAATGAGTGTTTGCAGACACTTCTGCAGCAGGATTCACCTTGTACTGTAGCCAGGCCTATTAGACTGTCAACAAGTTCCAGACCTGCCTTAATAGGAAATCCCTGTGTGCCAAGTCAAAGTCCGCAGTTACTGAGGTGGGCGAAGAAACAGGGAGTGTCTTGTATACGCAGTGCCTCCCATACTTGAGAGCAGCTCATGCTCTGTAGCGAGGCCACAAAGGATTGTGCCACCTCCCCCTGGCACTGCCATGTACTCTGAAAAGTAGAGAGCCCTGTCTGCACGTTAGGCTGTTAGTGGTTATAACGCTGCACCGCCAGGCTTGGCGAGGGGCGAAGGAAGCTGCAGCGATGCTTCCTTCTGGTCTCAGATATCCTGACTCAGCAGCGCACTTACACACGTGCTCAAGTCGCACGGAAGTGGCTGAAGCTCAGCACTTGCTTAAACGCTTGGCTGAACTGGGGCCAAAGGGGAGAAATATCACTCGAACCTGGTTCGTTATTTGTGGCTTCACTTCCTGGTTGGATGAGAACAGGTCCTGGAGCAGTTGTGTTAACTAACATGACATTAAACACTGACTTAATGGGCAGTGTCATGTAGTCAGGGACGAGCTTTGTTTAACATCCTGTCAGCCGGTCATGGTTTACTCTATGTTTTCCAGCTGGGTTTACCCAGTACCAGCTGGCGCCTTGAACAGGGCTTGGCTCTGTTTAAATTGACTGCAAAGTCACATTTAACATCATGTTAGTTGGCACGACTTCCTCAAGGCCGTGCTCTAACACATCCTCATTTTCTAATCCCTTGTGTCTTGCTTCTAGGTGGCCCCTTCCATTCTCCCATCCCTATAAATTCTCCAGCCACCACCACCTAATTCCACAGCAAGAAGGGAAAAGGGATAAACTGGCAGTCTTGTACTCCACCCACTGTTCCAGAGCAGTTCAGTGTTTCTTCTCAAATGTTCTGCATTGAGATGTAAACCACCATTAGTAGGCTTCAGAGTTAACAGCCCACTGAGCTGAATGAAGGCAGTTCTCACCTGTCAGAGCTATTATTGAAAACTCAGTCTCTATAAGCATTTGAAAGCTTTTCTTTGCAACTGTAAGGACCCAGAAACATAGGGCCGGATTTTTAGCTGGTGTAAATCAGCCTATCACTTTACTGATTTACAGCAGCTGGGGGTCTGGTCCTTATTTTAAAAAAGAGACTAAACGATTACATTCTGCGGAGAGGGATGAGGCCATCAGACAAGTGCAGCCTGGCATGCTGAATACCAGCTCAATCCGTCCCCTGCACAGCAGCATCTCCATCCCTTTCCCCTGGAGGTGCTGGGGAATCAGGTGTTGTTAATTCCATTAACAGTGCTCTTCCCACTGAGTCAGTGGTAACCAAAGCCCCAGCTAGAGGGAACTGCACTGCAGGAAGTGCAGCTGATGATTCAGTCGATAGTGCTCCTTCCACTGAGTCAGTGCTGAGCCAATGCCCGCTAGAAGCCTCCAGGGTGCTGTTGAAAGTGCCATAATTTGTGTGCAACTTAAAACGAAAAAAGGTCAGGCCCACTTGCTCTAAGGGTATTAGCTCCAGGAGCATTTGGGTAATGGCATTCTGATTACCTAACCCTCCCGCTTTCTGTTTCATCTGTAAAGAGTTTAGGGCCAGGTACGCTTCCGTGCCATGCAAATGTACGAGATGATCTTCTGTTGCTGCCTCCTTTTCCTGCAAGCCATGTGCTTCCCTAGCACCCTGCTACGCTTGCTGCCTTATGGAAAGCAACCAGTACCCCCTGGGTCCACCAGGGCTCACCAGTCTGGAGTTGTAGATAGGTGATTTTATGGGGGATGGCACTGGACAGCTGATCCGCTTCTCCTTCTGGCGCCGGTTACAGAACCAAACCCGAACCACTTCCTTTTCCATGGAGAGCTGCTCTGCTATCATGGAGATCTCTTCCGAGCTGGGCTTGGGGTTCTGGTAAGAGAGGGCATTAAGTGAACAAAGAAAACCCCATAGAACTAATCTAAAATCATTAGTGGGCTATATGATCTCCCGCTGTTTGAGTGGCAAGAGGAGAGAAATCTGGAGTTAGCTTTTAACTGGGGAGGGGAGAAGATTTGGCTCTCTCTATGGGAAAGGGTAGAGACCTGGTGGAAGGTCCACATTTTGAGTCACACTGGTGTCTAGTTGAGTCAGTGAGGATGCACAGGTGTACGCTCTATGCATATAAAGCGCTGAGCACCCCGTTCTAAGAGCCTCAGATCAGTATTGAAGGAGAAGCTACCACCTAAAGAAAAGCTAGGAAGGATAGTCTTGCGGTGAAGGCACCGAACAGGGATTCAAAAAATCTGGGTTCTCCTCTCTAGATCTCCCTCAGACTTCCTGTGTGATCTTGGGTAAGTCACTTAATCTCTCTGATCCTCATTTATACAACAGGGATAACGAAACATCCTTCCGCCTGCCCCCTCATTTTGTGGAGGTTAAACTCTCTGGTGCAGAGATGCTCTCTATATGTTTAGACAGCACCTAGCACAAAGGGGCTCCAATCTCAATTAGGATCTCTAAATAATAAAACAAGAGCTTAACACTAGGATATTGAGCAAGTTTCCCCATTCTAAAGGACGCCTAGAACAGGAAACTCCATGCTGGCCAAAGTGGGCATGTTCCTGATAATTTGAAAGAGGCTGTCTATTGTTTTTTCACCAGCCCTAGAAGGATAAGTTTGATACAATCAGATTTAGGGCAGGAGGAGGGTAAAAACTGGAGCCCGTTGAAAATTTTCCATCTAAATTGTTTTTTTGGAGGAAAATGGTGTTTTTGACTGAATATGTTTGTCGGCAAGACGTGTCTGCTTTCTGTGCCAAATTCTGATCTTTCTTTGAAAATCTGAATGTTCTAACCCAACCAAACCCAAACAATCTGCTGAAATTGATAGGCATTTGTGAAATATTTTGGTGTTCCCAAACCTGCCTTTTTCACGAAGAAAAGTTTCCAAGAAAAAAAACAAAAAACAAAAGAAAAAAGCCAATGGCTCTTAGCTTCAGAACTAGCAGGACTTTCTGGGTGGGAAATAGAGCTCACAACATGTGGTAAGATTTTCCCCTCACATCTTGAAATCTCTTCTCCAGCGTGGAACGAATGTTGGTCTCAATACTGGTGCGTTTCTTTCTCTTCCGCCCGAACATCTCGCTCACTGAAGGGTAGGAATTAGGGGTACTCACGGAGGAGTCCAAAGGAGTGGATTCTGGGGGAAAAGAAGGAACAAAGGACGATTTGGCAGCAGATATGTTCATGTTGAGAGGGTGTTTTCTCTGAAGCTGACCACCAGTGACAACCTGCTGTCCTTGTAACTGAAAAGGTCAAGAGTTTGTCCATGCCCATGGGGCAAAAATGACCAATTAAAGGCTGCAAAAGGGCCATTCCAGAATCCAACATTTGTTGGCAGCAAATGTACTGAACGTATGCCAGATAGTCTTAAGGACCTAGCTAGAGATCACTCCGCGTGGTGCTAGGTCCCCTTGGGGTTTGCCACAATGATCATGAAGATCTACTCATGATTTATTGATTGATTGAGTTTTGCTCCTGAAAGCTGGCTTGGAACCGCTGCCCCTCCCTAAACACGTAAAAGATCCTGGTTCAGAATACTATATAGGAACCCCTCCTTCCCCAGTGGTAACACTTTTAACATTGCCCAAAATAGCCCCAAATCCCAGCTTCAATTGGGGCTGGTCAGAAAAGGTGGAGTGAACGTTTCCCCCAAATATTGTTTTCCACCTTTTTGATGATGTTTCCCACCCAGCCACATTGAGCGCCAAGTTTTCAACTGTCGCAAACTGGTGTCGCTCCAGTGACTTCAATGGCACTATGCTAATTGACACCAGCTGGGGATCGGGCTGGGTGTTTCGCCTCATATTGCTGAGACAGTCCCTGTTGCAATAAAATCAGCTGAATGTGTCCAGGTCACCACTGGATGGGATGTCACAGTTGCTCAAGTATATGTTTCAGCCGTGTTAGTCTGTATTCGCAAAAAGAAAAGGAGTACTTGTGGCACCTTAGAGACTAACCAATTTATTTGAGCATGAGCTTTCATGAGCTACAGCTCACTTACATCTGATGAAGTGAGCTGTAGCTCACGAAAGCTCATGCTCAAATAAATTGGTTAGTCTCTAAGGTGCCACAAGTACTCCTTTTCTTTTTTCAAGTATATGTGGCTACAGTGCCCCTTAGTGGCTTTGCAGTCTATAAAGGATACATACCATAGGACTGCTGGGCTACAGGTACTAAGGGTGTCTCTCAATAATAAATATCTAGCTCTCATAATCATGGTTCATCAGCAGATCTCAGGGCACTTTATAAAGGAGATACGTCTCAATATCCCCCATTTAGATATGTGGAAACTGAGGCAGAAAGTAGCAAAGTGACTTGCCCAAGGTTACCCAGCAGAATAGCCAGGAAAAGAACTGAAAATCTCTTGAGTCTGAAGGCTACATGCTGTCCAAAAAGCAAACTACTTCTCAAGTGGCTGAGCCATGTGTTTCTGGAATAATGGGACGCCCTGTTTGTGTAGCTTGCAACCTCATGATAACCAGCGATGGGTTCTGTGACCCTGCCCTTCTCCCTGCAAGTGTATCCCTGGTGAGTGTGTGTTACAAGTCCCCCTTGGTGCCCAATTCCCAGAGAATAGTAGCCTGTCACTGCCCCAGTCTGGGAGCTTTAACTTGAGCTGTAGCAGCTTGTGCTTTTAGCTGTGGAGGCCCCTGGTTCAATCCCCGCTTTGTTGGCCAAGAGGCAGCCTTCACACAAGCACGGCATTGTGCCCTACCTGCATCACTCAGCCACTTCTCCAGCAGGGGCTTGAGCTTGCACATGTTTTTAAAGCTCAGATTGAGAGCCTCGAAGCGGGAAATGGTGGTCTGGCTGAAATCGTTGCCGTACAGCTTACCCATGGCCAGTCCAACGTCACCCTGCCGGGGGGATCAGAATGAAAAGATTAGCTGAGAAAACCCACTTGCAGCTCCCCACCGTGTAATTCACGCCCAGGTAACTTCTACTGTAACAGCAAACCAGCTTCCTCACCCAGTCTCTTCTACCACTAGGGATAGACTCCCAGAGCCTTCCTACACCCCAGTATGCACCAAAGAGGCTGCAGGTAAATCATTATGCTTGGTTTGAGGTTACAGGTGATGCATCTTCAAGAAGGGTTTGTTCATCCATTGTTCATCTGTGCTTTCAAGGTGGTGTTCCCATAAAGTGCACATCTGTACAACTCCCCGCCCCGCCCATATCTGCATCAACCCCTCCCTTCTATACCCACATCTGCACCCAACCCTGCCCCTCCTCTCCATGCCCACATCCATACCCAATCCCCCCCACCTTGTGTATCTCACTATTAAACCACTCATCATGAGATTGCCTTTTACCCCTCACCTGGGTGAACCCTAGTTTGATTCGCCTCTGTTTGAAAGTCTTAGCAAACTTCTCCAGCTCCTCCAGGTCACTGGGTTCGTCTGATACGGCTGAAGACGGCATGTGTTTTGAAACTTGCAAGTGCTGTGGCTCTAAAGACGGCCCAGGGAGCCCTGATCGTCCCACTGCCTGTTAAAAACAAAACTGGAGTCACAACCACGGAAAAGCCACAGGATTTTCTGCACTGGCCTGCCATAACAAACGTTGCTTGGCGTGGCTGTGTGCCGTTAAACAGCTGCCACATCCCACTGCTGAGGAGTGGGCATGTCAATGGTGGGCAAAATGATCCTTCCAGAGGAGTGTGGGATGAGAAGGGTTAATAAGTTGTTTTAGGGGAGGTGGGCTCAACGTTCAGGATGTAGCTCGGGCTGCTAGAAAAAGGCTGTAACACAAAACCTAGGTCAGTAACGGGGAGCTGGCATTCATTGGGGGTAACAGCGATAAAATAACAGCAAATACGTGGAGCGAAGGGTGGGTATTTAAAAACGAATGGATGAACCGTTGACTCATCTTATCAGCCTCAAAAAATCAAGAGAGCAGCTGTTTGAGTTACTAAGAAGGGCAAAGCTGGGGGTGTCTCTGCACAGCCTTGTGGTTTGGCTTGTGAATTTCCAACTCCTGGCTGGTCTAACTTTGCGTCCCACCTGAGCCCCCCAAAGCCCGGCGTGGCATGGGGAAAAAGGAAGATAAAAAGGTTTCTACATCAGGGTTCTGCTTGACACATGTGGGGCGCAGGCCTGGAAAGTATTCAGTTTGCCTGATGAGCAGAGGAAGGTTTTTGGCACCCCATGGAAACTGAAATTGGCACCTATGAAATTCCATTGCCTGCACAGAGAAGTGACCAACCAGAACCTGTACCTCCTCAAGAGCACTGTCTCTGCGTGATCCCACTGAAGGACATAGGACTTGAAGGATCTGAAAGAGCAGCTGGGAGGGGCAAGTGGCTCTCTCCAAACGGTGCCAGAAACTCAGGGCACAGGTGCCAAGAGCCAACAAGCGGGAATGAACAGAGGCCGCCACAAAGGCAAACAAATCATCAAAAGCAGATGCAGATCGGAAAGGCTTCCGAGGTTACCACTATTGTTTACAAGCACTTGCATGGGGCCAGGTGCTTTACAAGGCTGTAAAAGATACTGGCCTTGCCCTGAGGAGCTTTATGATCTATGCAGGAATCAAACACATGCAGGGGCAAGGAAGGGAGGCAACACAATGCGGTGGGAATGAGTTATGAAGCTGCAGCTGCAATTGTGATTGGACAGGGGCGTTACAAGCACTGTGGATTGGGTGCGGGTGGTGGTGGGGAAAAGGAACTTGTTGGCTTCTTTGAAGAATGACATCTCACTGAGGCAAAGGCAAGCCAAGGGCTTCCTGGCCTAGGGAGTGGTTTGGAAGGGGTTGGAGAAGGAGATGGAAAGACGGGAAGCTTGGGTGGAACAATAAGTCCACAATCACAAACGAGCACCCACCAAGTGACACGGATCTTCCCCCTTGCAAGCAGCCTCAATCAAGGCTGGAATGAGCTATGGAGATGGAACCCCTTTCTTGCCTCTCCTCTCTCGCAGGGGGAGGCAGGTTCACAGATGAGTGTGAATCCCCGCAGCCTGGGCTGCAGTCCACTTTCTTGGCGCAAATCGGCTGCGGATCCTGGCTAGCTGTTGACGTGATGCCAAGAATCAATTTGATCCCGCTTCCAGCGGAGGTAGCCAGAAGGTAGTTTACCTGTGATGCTAGGCTGGGTCCAGGCTGCGAGAGGATGAGGCTGCTCTGTTGCTGGGGAAAGGAGAGAATGTTTGGTTGCAAAGCTGAGGAGAGAGGAAGAGAGAGAGATTCGATTAGACTGGCCTCGCCTTAAATATCTAGACAACTCTATGTCACACAGCACTGCTGGGCCTTGGAGCCTACAGTGCCAAAAGAGGGGATATGCTGAACCTTCTATGGGACATGGCACACTGTCTGGCAGGCAAGACATACACTGTTTCCAGAGACAGCAAAGCACTTAAGCAGTGAAAGAATGTGCTTAAGTCCCACTGAAACCAATGGGGCTTATGCACGTGCTTGAGCACTTTAGTGAACTGGGGCCTAATTCTTTGTACTAGTGCAGACAGACATTTTCTTATTCTGATGGGCACAACAGTCCTGTGATATTTGTAGAGCAACGCAACCGACCTGTTATATAGAGCTTTTTAATCCATAGATCTCCAAAGTAAACATCATCATCTCCATTTCACAGATGGGGGAACTGCATAGCATCATAGGTGTGCATAGCTTTTTGGTATCTGCGCTTAGGTACTACAGGGGTGGGAAACCTAGTACTGTTAGTTAGTTAGCAGTAGATTTCTGTGCTTTCAAACTTTGGGGTATGTGTTGGGCGGTTGTTACATGAGCACACCACAGTTGAATCATTGCTGGATCTTGGTATTTTAACCTACCAGGCCCATTTCCCTCCTGTTAATTATTCTGACTCATCACATCACATCTAAAATCTGACCGAGCTCTGTTACGGTTATTGGGCCTAAATATTTACCCTAACTGTAAGCTCAACTGTAAAAAGTTTAAAAGGTGTCGCAATAACTTATTTTTTTTTGCCCGCTTGGGAATTAACCATGAAAAGTAGGTCAAGAAAGAATGTTTTGAACAGGTGCAAGGAAACAAGACGCAGAGACCCGATTAGTCCAAACAGAAAAATGTCTACTGATAAGATTCAAGGTTGAGGTTGGACTTAAACAAGATGACGTGGGTCTGGAAATTAATGGATCAAAATTGGAGTGGCAGACACTAGGTCTAATTGGTGGACACAATAATGAGGGGATGAATTATGCCTCCCACTTTCCGCCCTTTTCGGGGTTCTTCAAAGGAGACTTCGGACTCTCTTTTTCATCAAAGGTCGTTAATAAAAATGAGAGACACTGCCCTCCGAAGGAGAGCGACCAACACGTTTTGATTAAGTTTGTTTCACAGAATTACTTAATTTCAGTGTCAGTACAAATGCTTGTTTTGATTTTTTGTTCTTTCTTGTGTTTGGTCAGTAAACTTTCAAAAGAATCTTTTACGATGAAAGCTTTTGGGTGATTGCCAAGAAACGGAGTAAACCAGGGCCTCTGTAGAAAATCCCCCGAACCTTTGTATCACTCTTTTAAATGTCAGACAGTGAAAGAGTTGAGGACACCTTTAACTCTTTTGACTCTTGAGATTATATAATAGCTCCTTCGGACAGAGACTTAGTCCTTTTCTTTGACCATTAAAGCACCCGGCTCATTTTGGGCTCTGCATAAATCATAATACTGTCTTGCAGAAATCAGATGATCAGGATAGCCATACTTAGCTCTTTTACCATGCTTATTACCTCCATGGTGCTGTAACAACCTTAACTAATTCATAAAACAAAGCTCCGTGGCTTCCGGAAACTGGAGGAGACTCACTGCATTGACTGTCTTCCTGGAATTTAAATCAGGTGCTTAACATTTAGATTTATAAAATGTACATCATAGAAAGAATAATCTGATTGGCTCAGATTGTGCAAGTCTCCAGAATAATCACATGCTGGTCGAGGTTTATTCACGATTGTTGTGAAAGCAAAACACATTCCTTCCCTCCACCACCCAGAAAAATAAAAACTTGTAATGAGGAGGGAAATTGTACCAGAGATGCAGGCTTGTCAGGGAGTTAAAGTTATGGCCTTGATTCAGAAATCATTGGGTGAAATCCTCTGGCCTGTATTATGGAGGAGATCCGAATAGATAATCATAATGGTCCCTTCTGGCCTTCAGTTGTATGAACCTATGAGTCCAACATATCAGGACCCAAGAAATCTTCCATACTTTTCTCACATTTACACTCAGAGTGCTGCTTTCCAGCACGATGCTTTTCCTGTCGCACATGAGTGCGTTGGTACTGACAGCCTGCGGTTCAGTGATAGATGATTCTGATCCTACCCGTTCAGGATAATTAGTTTAGTAGATTATTGTTACATGTACAGCAAGTCGTTTTTTGATAAATTACTCAGTAGCACTTGGCAGAGATAACGGCTTAAGAGCCATCTGCGCTAGACGGATTGTCCACTCAGGATCGTGTGTTTTAAAGTATCCGTGGCCCAAATCCTGCAATCTGGTTCATACAAGGGGACCTTTAAGACCGCTGAAGTCAAAAGGTTACTCAGCATGGGTACTAGGCTCCATCTACGTAGATCAGATTGTAGCCTTGGGATCTACATTTGTCCTTCCATGACCAACTCTGGCCTAAGCCATGTGTAATGCACATGTATTTTTTAAAAGTTTACTTCCAAAAAGAATATACTGAAGTTAGAAGCTAGAGCGGGTTCCCCATAAAGACGGGGCTCCTGGGTGTTTCCATGTCATCTGACCTGAGACTAACCCAACCAGATGCAGTGCTGCATTTCAACTGAGAGAGGCATTTCTCTGAGGCACGCCTGAGATCAGTGCACACAACCCCTTGGCGGCGCTGCTGCTGCACAGAAGTACAGTCTCTACGTAAAAGAATAAATGGACACAAATCAGATGTCAAGAATTATAACATTCATAAACCAGTCGGAGAACACTTCAATCTCTCTGGTCACGCAATCACAGACATGAAGGTCGCTATCTTAAAACAAAAAAACTTCAAATCCAGACTCCAGGAGAAACTGCTGAATTGGAATTCATTTGCAAATTGGATACTATTAATTTAGGCTTAAATAGAGACTGGGAGTGGCTAAGTCATTATGCAAGGTAGCCTGTTTCCTCTTGTTTTTCCCCCCCCAGATATTCTGGTTTAACTTGGATTTAAACTTGGAGAGTGGTCAGTTTAGATGAGCTATTACCAGCAGGAGAGTGAGTTTGTGTGTGTATGGGGGTGGGGGGAAGTGAGAAAACCTGGATCTATGCAGGAAATAGCCCGACTTGATTATGTAAAGAGTTGTCACTTTGGATGGGCTAGCACCAGCAGGAGAGTGAATTTGTGTGGGGGGGTGGAGGGTGAGAAAACCTGGATTTGTGCTGGAAATGGCCCACCTGTTGATCACTTTAGATAAGCTATTACCAGCAGGACAGTGGGGTGGGAGGAGGTATTGTTTCATATTCTCTGTGTGTATATAAAGTCTGCTGCAGTTTCCACGGTACACATCTGATGAAGTGAGCTGTGGCTCACGAAAGCTCATGCTCAAATAAATTGGTTAGTCTCTAAGGTGCCACAAGTACTGCTTTTCTTTTTAGAAGTACAGCTGTGGCAGCAAACCTGAGAGGGGAGAATTTGGTCACCCAGTGGTTTAGTTTAGTTTGCATTTTGGTTGGAGCAGCTGCCTGGCTTCAGGCACAACAGGCGAGAGAGCTATCATGCAGGAGAGAGGGCAAAGGGAAAAGCTTTGGCAATACAGAAGGGCATGATCCGTAACAACGGGAGCAAGACAGTGAACCCCAGTTTCCACTCTTGGTCACCATGGCCTTGATCTGGAGTGACTCTCCTGACGTCAGTGGATCGATGCCACAGAGATCAATGCCTGGCCCTGGATATCACCAGCTCATCTACTCCAGGCTCTGGGGTGGGTTGGTTCTTGAATCACTCCGCGTACCTGCCTGTGACTCCACCTGTACCAAGGGCACTGTATTAATTGTTTTAGCGAGCACTCTATGGCTATTACCTTGTTGCCCAGCCTGGGCCTGAGAGAGCAGGAACTGAGGAACTGATTGCATAGGACCGGGCACCAGTACAAGCTGCTGCAGCGTGTGAAGAGAACTCATATCCTAACGAAGAAACAATGCAGGTCAGATGCATCTGCCACGTACACAGCACCCGAACCTTTCCCCAATTCCCTCCCCTCTGTAAGTAGCACTTAGACACCCCCTCCACCCTCCCTGCCTCCGCTTCCGCCTTCAGCTGCAATCGACTGCAACTCGGGTAACCTCGCCCCTGCCCCCCCGCCCCTCCCCGAACGCTACAGAACTAAAGCTGCTCCCACATTTTTCACCCAAACCTTTTCCAGCACTGGCTTTTTGCTTAAATGGAATTTTTCCTTTTTTGTCAAAAAAGCAAACCCCCAAACTGTCCGTTTCTCTCTTTTTTGTCGATTGACATTTTTCAGTTTAAAAGTGAAACATTTTGGTTTTCAGTTGCCCCCCCTCCAAAACAACAAAAACAAAAACAACAAAAGAAAACAATTAAAAAAATCACTGGGGGAGGAGGGCATTTCAGGGTTTTGACAACAACTCAGAAAATGTCAGAAAAAAATTAAAGAAAAATAAACAAACCAAAAAATTCAATTTTGCATGGAAACCAAACCCCCATTTCCTGACTGTCGCAAGCACAACATTTCCCGATTATGCCACCATGGGTCCCAGCTCTGACTCCTTGTGTGACCTGGAGGCTGGACTTGGGGTGAAATTCACAAGGTCTATGCACCAGCTCAGCCCATAAGGGTCAGATAACCAAGTCCTTGGCACTCACATTGGGATCAGAATTTCAAAGGAGCTCAGCAGCCAATGTGATGAGCTCTAAAATCTGGCCCCTGTTTTGAGCATTGTGGGACCTTAAGTGGTGCCTACGCCTTGGGCAAGGGCTCTGCTCAAGAGTGAATTTCTTCCTTTCATCTTAGGTGCAAGCATAAGGGAGGAGATTTTAAAAGGCACAAACAACATTTGGGCATCTAACTCCCATTGGAAGTTAATGGGAGTTAGACGCCTAACTGCTCTTTGGGCCTTTGAAAAATCTCCCCCAAGGAATACATTTCGTCTCTGATATAACTCGGCCCAAGTCAGTTGAGTGACTCTAGGGGTGAACCTAACCTTTGCAAAGCAAATTGAATCAGGATTCACAGTTTCTGACTCTGGAAGCCTTCTCCATTGCCATTCCAGCACCTCTTTAAAGTGGCTTTCAAGCAATGAATGCTCCAGAACTGGTGCCACGAAGGACTCCTGGAGTTCTTGAGGCTGCTAAGCCACTTACCCCGGTGATTTGGCTTCCAGGCATCATTGATGATCCTTGTCCTAGGTGGCCTGATCTAGGCTGTACCGGAGATTGCAAGGAATCACCGAGGTCTTCTGTTTTAATCTGCAGGGGAGAGGAGACTAGCTGCATCAGCAGGAAGCATGCACAGATTATGAGGAGCCAGAGCAAGGTGGAAGGCTCAGGAAGTTAGCAGGCTTGGCGTTTGGGGCACCTGGGGAAGATCCTCTCTATTGTACCTGTGCTCGGCATCACACCAACAGTAAAGTCTAGTAATGAGAGTCAGGACTCCTGGGTTCCATCCCCAGCTCTGCAGCAACATCTGTGAATTTGGACAAGTCACTTCCCCACTCTGCTTCAGTGTCCCCACCTGCAAAGTGGCATAAGTCTACTGACCCACTTCACCAAGGGGAGGAGGTGAGGTGTCCTTAATTAAAGGCACTCTAATTAAAGCACTTAAGTCCCGCTGACTTCAATGCTGCTTCGAGTCAAGCACGTGCTTAAGTGGTCTGCTCAATCAAGGCTCTGAAACATTTTGTGGATCTTGGAAGAAAAGCAAAGTATTATAACAACAGGTAATGCATGGAAATTGGTGGGGTGGCTAAGTCACTAGTCCCCTTTCTAGGACCTGCTTCAGGTGCACTCCACTGCATTTCTGGCTACAGGGCATCTCCCTGCTCTGGCAGCGGTGGCCATGAGGGTGCGGAGAACAGAGAGGAGAAGAACAGGCGGTGGTAAGATTAAAGCACATGAAAACCAGTACCATTTATGAGTGGCTGCCAGCCTTGAAAGTTCACTTGTCCGGGCACTAAATCTACTACACCACTTGTGATAATGGGCAAACAAATGCTATTTGACTTGCCTAGCAAAGGAAAACAAAGTTATTTGCCCAGAGCCAAGCGGGCGAGCAGCATTTTGCACACTGTATTGGAGTCAGCCCCGGAACCGCTTGCCCTATTTTGAAGTTCAGGCAAGATTCAAATCCAGATTTCTAAGACAGGAAAAATTCACCAGGGATCAGAACTGGAGCTTTGAGTTTGTCCGGTTCATTGGTCTCCCAGTTACTTTTTATTCTTTCTGCTCCGAAACAAGGCAAAACCCATTGCTTCTTGTTGCATCAGGTGTAATTTGTCACTGGGATATGGCGCCCCCATGGGATGGACAATAGATTTTGGAGAACAAAGGAATGCTCACACGTAACCATGGCAGGCTGAGTGGAATCAGTGCAACACCAGGTTAGGGTCTTGCTCATCCTCAACTGGGAGGACTGTATCCTGCATCTGTAGGGAGCAGAGAGAAACTTTTTGGCCTAATCAAATAGGTCTTTTCTTGAAACGGATCAAAGTGGCAAAATTCTGATCCAAAGCCAAATCTTTGAGGGTTTGGTTCTGGGGTTCTAGTTTGGGTCCTTTCAAGTGACAGTCCTGATCCAGGTCTAATTTTTCCCAGTGTCATGAAAACCCTATGCTTTGGCTCGGGATTGTGGACTCTCTCTTAGAATCTGGGATGGCTTTTGCTACGAGGGGTAGTTAATGACAGAATCCAAGATCGCTGAAGAGACAAAACCTTTTAATTCTCCAGTGTCCTGAGATGCTAGAGCAGAGTGAGTAATATATAGCTTCCTACCAGCAGAGAGAGACAAGAAACTTAGGTTTTCCCACAAACAATGAGCAAAAAGCATGCATTTTTCAGTCAAGAGGGCTTTTGTTACAGATTGAGGAAAAACAACTAAGAAAGAACAAATATAAGAGTCTCCAAGAGAAAGAGAGAGAACACAATCTCTCTTTCTCACTCTGAACTGAAGCACAGAAACGAAGCTGCCCCTGTGAAGATTAATTTACACATTTAAAGGTGTAGTACACAGAAACCAGAATTATGACATCTCTTTTTGGCAACATGCTGTAGCTATATACACTGCATAAGCTTACTGTGCAATATTAACCCCTTCCAAAGACGGCTGAGAATTCTAATTCTTCCCCACCTCTCAGGAGGGAGTGCTCTTCTACTTGACAGATGGTAAAACCTTTTGATCACTATTGATCTAGGCAGTGTTTGAGTTGGTGACCATTAAATGAAAGGCCCTATGGAATACATCATTTCCTCTCCTCTGAGCCCATCACTCCACTTCAACCCTTTCATCATCACCAAGTTCTTTTCCTTCTGAAGATAGATTTACCAGAAACAACCACATTTAAAAAAAAAAAGTTACCCCTACTTGCAATCATTACAATTAAAGATCCAGCAAATTGCCAAGGGATTCATGTGTCTGTGGCTCACGTGACTCAGGAATCCGAATCCAAACAGCCACCGACAGAAAAGTGACCGTGCCCACACCAAGACAGAGGTGCTTTCTTCTGCCTGAACCTAATCGGAGCTGAGCATTCAAGAACCACAAGCCATTTCCAAACTGAAATCAATTTTTACAGCTGCTAAACGGAATGATTTGGAAGCGTTCCAGGAAGAAAAGGGTGTGTAGCTACATCACAACACATCAGATCCAGAGGTGGGTTTGTTCAAAAAAAAAACAAAACAAACAAAAAAAAAAACAAAAAAAAACCCCCACCTGGTTCCCAATTTAGAAAACAACATCTCCAACAGCTTGTCCCCCACTTCCTGGAATTTGCCAGTTTTCTCCAGAGAAGATGGGAGGAACTCTGGGTGTAATTAACCAACTCTTCTCCATTGCACCTTATTTCATTAGTGTTAGACTCAAATTTACTCCATCCCTCCCCTGCGTAACGGCTGCTTCTTATCTGTTTACTACTATATGTTTGGGATGTATCCAAATCACAAAGTTTGGGGTGTTTATGCAGATCCTTCCATCTTTGGTTCATCCAGAGAAAGCTTTACAGGATTTCCAATCCCAAGCATTCAACAACTATGAGTCAGGCTGCTATCATGAGATTTTTTAAAATAATATTATTTTCCCTTCTGGTTTCTGAGTGCACCTAGGCCATGTTTTCAAGCCTTTTCACCAGACCAAGAGGGACAGAATTTTACCTTTTTAAAAAAGAAAGCAGAGATTCTCACATAATCACCTGACTCCAGAAGCTAGGACTTTCTGAAAAATCAGCAACTATAAAGGAGACCCATGATAAAAGTTAGTGTCTCAGCTCTTGTGATTTTAAGCTAGAGAGCAAAATGAAGGTCAGATTGTGCTGAGTTTCTCTGGGGTCTCTGTACGGAGGTCAAGGTAGACTGGTACAAGTGAACAGAAGGGCAGCAGGGAGACGGTAGGTTTCCTTCTCTTCTATGTTAAATTCAGGGAAATTATGCAATCTGCCTCAGTAAAAATGCAATTGCAGATTGCACAGCAAACTATTAGGAATATACTCACTGTGCCCCAACCCAGGGAGAAATTTCTGCAGGGGGATGAAGCAAAATGATGTGCCACAAACAACAAATACTATTGTTACACAGATCATATACACCGGGAGGAGGGACTAGAACTCAAGACCTTCATCTGCAAAACCATAGGTATCTACCAACTGAGCTAAAGGGGATCTTCTAAGACTAGTAAAATAGTAGGCAAATTATCCTCTTGGTGATCCATTAGAGGGTGACATAAATACATCACATGAAGCTACTGCATTAAAGGATTACTGGGGTGCAGAAAAGGAATTGTTCCGGCAAATCTAATCTAGATGTTCTCCCTATCTTGACATAGTTTGTTTTGGGGCCTCTGACCCCAAATAAAAAGCAAATGGAGAGCAAGCTAGTTTAAAGGAAGTCCCTTCCCTCATTGACTGGTTGGTCCCTTCACTAGTTGGCTGGTGGGTCTGCTCACTCTGACAGCCAATTGATGGGTTTCTTACCCAATCCTGGTGGGAAAAAAACCCGCATAAACAAAACAAAAAACAAATTGTGGGTGATGGAAAATTATCAAAGCTATTCGGCTCACTTGCGTAATCCATTGGTGGAAGATGTTACATAAACATTTCATAAGACAGAGAATTATGGAGAGAACATCTCCCAACCTGCCTGCAATTACTACACAAAAACTCTTCCTTACCAACAGAGAGAAGGTTAAAAAAAAGAAGAAAAAGAGAGCACATCTGTTTTGTAACAGATCTATAAACATTTGGCAAAGGCTTACTTCATGAAAACATCCTGGAGACATCCTGCAAGCTGTGAAAGTCCAGGCTCACGCAAGGCGGTTAGAAAAAAGCATGCTCGCAGCTCAGATGTTACAGTGATGAAGGCCATGTCAGTAACAGGTAGATGGCTAGATAGCTAGGCAGGCAGACTGGCCCCACATTTGGTCCTATAAACTGCAGGTTGCATTTCCATGGGGTGACCTCAACACCTACTCTGTCCTCCTTCTTGTAAGACACAAAGTCACCTCCTCTTCCTCAACATTTCTGATGCAACATGATTGCCCTCCCATCCCTCTCTTGGCAAGGCGGGTTTGTATTTACCAATAGTGAGGAACCCTTAAAGGGATGGGTTTGACATAGCACCCCCAAATCTGGATGCTTCTTCTAACCATCCAGACTAGAGTTTCACCCTAGACTGCATGCGTGTCGCCACCCTCACCGCATATTACATATACTACACATTAGGCAAAATGGTATGTTATGGGAGGATCCACCTCAGGGTGCTGTGAATGATCACACATTTATTATGTAGCTTGAATTTAGACTGTAAGCTCTCCGAGACACAGACCTCTCCTAGTTATCTAGCTCACAATGCTGTTGCATCTCAGCAGCTCCCAATCATTAATAAATGTATCCTCATAACACTCCAGTTGAGGTAAAGTTGCATTATTATTCCGATTTAACAGATGGTGAACTGAGGAACAAGGAGTTGAAGGGGAAGATTTTAATTCCCTCCGTCACACTGAGTAGTACCTCACTCCACAGATGGTCTCACTGAAATCACTCACAGAGTAAAGTGCTACTAAACCTGAGTAAGGGTGTGACCTTGAGTGAGTTGGCTATGGTCACACAGGGAACTTGTGACAGAGACAGGAATCGAACACACAATGCCCAGGGTGCTGCTTTAACCACAAGACCACCCTTCATTTCTTGCCTGTTATGTGTTTATCTGTGAAGTACCTAGCACCCTTATGGGCACTATGAAGTAAAAATAATAATAAATAATAG